TCACAGCTTTCTCTGACTTTACATGTCCTCGCTGTCGATGAACAAGAAAACCTCATAGTAAATCAAAAGCTCTGTTCCAAAACATAGTGAGCAGCCTACCTAGGCAGCATTTTAAGGCATCATAGGAACACTATCGAAATTCATATAAATAGTGTAAGTGAGATCTTTAATGTATTTTTCTAGACTAATACGATAATACTACTAATAATTAATATAAACCAAATATGAACAATAATATCCTAAATAATAATACTACTAATAATTAAAATAAAAATTATAAATATTTGTTTCTAGTAAATTATAAAAAATTTCAACAAATAATATAATCTGAAAAGTAATCTACTCACAGCATATATATATATATATATATATATATGCTGTGAGTGTTTTATTATATGAAAATCTATTTCACAATTCTCTGTATAGTAGAATTATGTTTAATGACGACTTTAAAATGAGGGAAATTACTGCAAAAACTTTATTCAATATAGCGTGTAGGTTAGATGAGTAAATAAATCCACTCAAACCATCAGATGAAAACAGCGTAGGTGATTCAGCTGTACCGGGTCTTCTCTCTTTGACTTTCGCTTCACATCGACGCATCTAGAGCTGCTGCACGCTGCGATAGAAGACTTTAGCTCGCGTTTCGGGACGGTTTACAGAATTGTCAATTGCCTGATCGGTCATTGTTGCATCGTCACAAAAATGTATTATTTTCACGTCTTTTTAAGCCATTCGGTACTCGGGCTCTCCAGAGGCGCGTGCGCTCACAGTCACATCCAAAGCACGTACTGCGAGTACCAAATTGAGAAAGTACTGTTGGTTTTGTCTTAAGTTCATGTAAACAGTTGCAAAATAAAACGCATGAGTATCAGTATTGGATCCGTGAAATAGGTCTTGTGACAGCAGCCTAATAAAGCTGTGCCGTCTTTTATTAATGTTAATCAAACAACAAAAGACAGAGAAAATCCCTCACTGCTCTTGACTAAATAATGTTTTGCTGAATAACGTTTAATGGTAATTTACAGTTTATTCAATTTCTGTAGCCTATTTAAAACACGTTCATAATTTAGAAAATTTAGTTAATACTTGCATCATTAATGATTTATTTTATCCACCCGCAAATAATCAGAATGCATTTTTTTATTACCCGACCCATCCGATCCGCGGATTATCCGCCATCACTAATATATACAGTGGGTACGGAAAGTATTCAGACCCCCTTACATTTTTCACTCTTTGTTATATTGCAGCCATTTGCTAAAATCATTTAAGTTATTTTTTTTTCCTCATTAATGTACACACAGCACCCCATATTGACAGAAAAACACAGAATTGTTGACATTTTTGCAGATTTATTAAAAAAGAAAAACTGAAATATCACATGGTCCTAAGTATTCAGACCCTTTGCTCAGTATTTAGTAGAAGCACCCTTTTGATCGAATACAGCCATGAGTCTTTTTGGTTATGTATACTATATATAAGATTTATGTTTTTAATAAATTGCTTTAAATAACCACAAGAAATAATATAATACAAATATTTATATTAATAAATTGTTTAATAAAATGTTAAACATTCTTAAAATACCTTAAACATACTCTAAATGGACGTCTTTGACCACTGTGCAGTGTCTCGCTCTTTTTGCAGCGTCTACCCATCAGTCTGTGCAGCATTATGGCACCAAAGTGTGGACTAATAAAGCACCACAAGACTGAGGACGCCTTTGATTCAGGCCTTTTCTGGGAAATGGCATCTAAGAACTGCTACAGCCTCGACGGCCTCCGAAAGCCAAAAACTGCGCGACCCGAGTGAGTTTAACTGGCTTGGGCATTTACAAGAGCCAAGAACACAGATCAGGAGCACCACCAGGAGTATCATACACCCGTCAAACATTCTGGCCATCGACACGACTCCATCCCTCGGAGAAACCATGTAAGGAGATTATGAAGACTTCTGAAGGCACAGATTTCATCGGGCTGAGCTCTTCACAGGTACACATGAACATATGTACTGGAGGACAACTAAAACATTTAATTACAGACCCTTTAATTTATGATAAAAAACTAAGCCTGAATATCCCCAAAGAAAAGTAATTTAAGGAATAATTAGACTGTTACCCAAGATAACATGAATACAACTGGAAGCCAACTTTCTTCTCCAGCTTAGAGAGGAAAAGAATTAGTATGTTTTGATTGAGCCTGATTGGATTTTGATTTAGAGAAAACACTGAATTGAGTAGACAGACGTCTGAATGAAAGGATCCTGAAGACATATCAACAAGATGAATAGCAATAGAGCATCATGGGAGTTTTGGATGCTAGTTTAGGTCATACAATAGTGTTCAAAAGTATACTTTTTAAAAAATAAATAAATTAACTAAAATTAAATTAATCAAAAGTGGGAGTAAAGACATTTATAATGTTACATTCTATTTCAAATAAATGCTGTTCATTTAAACATTCATATGGATAAGAAACAAAATAAAAGTAAGTGATAAGACATTTTATTTTTGGATAAATTATTTTATTCAACACATTAGCTCTCTTAAATAATCATATAGTGTTATAATAATCAAAGCAGCCCTGAGCTAAAGGGGTCATATGATGTTGCTAAAAAGCTAATCATTTTGTGTATTTGGTGTAGTGAAATGTGTTTATGTGGTTTAAAGTCAAAAAACACATTATTTTCCACATAATGTACATTATTGTTTCTCCTCTATTCCCCGCCTTTTTGAAACGCGTCGATTTTTACAAAGCTCATCGTTCTGAAAAGTGAGGTGTGCTGTGATTGGCCAGCTATCCAGTGCGTTGTGATTGGCCGAATACCTCAAGCGTGTGACGGAAATGTCCTACTCCACACTGCCCAAAACTCGCGTTTGATTCATCAATGGCAAATGATAAAAGAAAAGCTCTAGGCATGACGAAGCAGATATCGTCCTCTTTTGGAAGACCAAACAAAGTAGTTTCGCTTTCACAACGAAAAACACAGCGGCCTAGCGTGAGGGGAAGCCCCGGCTTAGCGTGCGCTGAGGCCGGGATAGAGTGAGCTGAGGCGGCAGGGTCGAGAACGGCGGTCCCGGCGAAGGAACGGTGAAAACGGTGAAAGCCGATCCGGCGATCCACAGCACTAAGTTGATGTATTTCCTCAGCGACCAACACAGATCAGCTCCAGGCATGACGAAGCGGATATCGTCCTCTTTTGGAAGACCAAACAAAGTAGTTTCGCTTTCACAACGAAGCACACAGCGTCTTCAGGACATGGCTGCAGCGTCAACAATACTACAGCGAGAATAAAAGTTACGCCTTCTTTCTTTGCGTGAACATTTGGGCGGCGTTATGCAAATCTTCCCACATAGTGAGGTAGATATGTGGGGGTGTTTTAGAACGAGCCGTTTTAGGAAGGTGTGGTTGACTCTTAACTTTTATAAAGAATATCTCTTTGGATTTGAGACTTTAGTCTTTGCAACTTTACAGATCTTCTTTATGCACCAAGAGCTTGTAACACTCCAAAGAGAAAGGAAAAAATTAAATTGCATCATATGACCCCTTTATAAGCTTTATTCTGTGCAAACCAAACTATCACTTTAATGTAATATTATTTTTTTTTTTATTTGCATTCACTAATAAAAAGGTTTTATCATTAGCTATCTCACTGGACAGCTGCGTTATAGCAGAAAATCAAGTTGTAATTCTAACAAAGCAACACTCACACTGTTTTTTCATGTTTAATAGAACAATTTGGAGTAGACGTCACAGTTACGTCACTTGCAGCTGCGCGCGCATTGTGGTGGCAGAAAAACACTGGGAACATGTGGAGGGAAATGGGTAAAATCCATGGAATAAGAGAAAAAATGTATTGTTGTGCATTTGGATGTCAGAATCGGAATGCAAATAATTTTTATATAACACTGTAGTCAAAGACGCCATTTGAAGCTAAACTCAGACGTTTAAACGGACAGACTATTGATGAAACCTGCTATGATTACCCTACTTTTAAAGCATAAATTTGATTTAAACAATAGGTCTATATAATAGTCATATAGGGGACATATTGTATTAGCCCTACAGTTGAAATACATGAATGAAATACTATTTAAACCTATAACATTTTACATAACAGTTACCCATTTTATCTCACAATTCTGACTTTTTTTCTTGCTAATGCAAGTTTATATCTCCTAGTTCGGACTTTACAACTTTATTCAAGTCAACAATTGTGAGTTTGTCAATTCTGAGTAAAAAAAGGCAAAAGTCTGGGATTACAAACTAAAAAGAAAGAATGACGAGTTGATTTTCTTACCAGAATTGTGAGATATAATCTCGGAATTGCAAGAAAAAAGTCTGAATTTTGAAATATAAACTCAAAATAATTTTTAAAATAATTTTATTCCATGGCTTGAATAGACTGCTAGGTTAAAACTGTCATTTTCTGCCACCAGATAGGCTCCGTCCACAAAAACGTCATCACTGTTTGCAAACACTGAAATTGGTCTATACTGTAAAGCTGCTTGCTTTAAATCAATCTACTGTATAAAGCGCTATATAAATAAACATGACGTGACTGGAGTGCTGAATTGCAGAGCTGGTGCAAACTTATCCACACCGCTGTAATCAGATGCTTTTTTAACTGCTGTTTTCTCACCACTCTCATTTTTGTTGTGTGTTTATTTCGTTATTGAGAGGAAAGCGAGCAGCACATATTTACATATTAATCTAAATGCCGCTCTAAGCAGCATCTGGTTCGGTTGCAGTGACACTCCAACTCTCATAAGCGTCTAGTGTGCTGAATTATAGTCTTGTGCCACAGCGCCACATTTGGTCAAACGGCGGTACTGCAGGCCCTTGCATTGAGTCATATGAGATCAAACGACTATTTGACAACAAAAAAAACAAAGTGCCTGGATTTTGTTCACGAAATTTCGCCAAGCAGCAGTAAATGTGTCCGCACCTCAACCATTAACCAGAAATTGTTCAAAAACAGGAATGCACTTCTCTTACCTCAAGTCTTTGTACGATCTCTCTAATGTCCTCTCCACAGTTGTCGTGCGCGGAAAGCATCACGCACTCGCCGCGTTCGTAGAAGATCTTGATGCTCATGACGCTGGACGACCAGCCGATGACGTCCCGACAGGAGCAGTTAAAAATCACGTTCTTGGACTCTACCTCAATCAGCACGATGAACTCGTTGGAAATCCCCAGCAGGCACTCCACGTCCGCCGACTGGCCGAAATCCCGCGCCACCATGCTCCACGTGACGGCGCCCACGCTGTGGAGATGAGCGTCCTTCCGTGGCTTCACCCGCTCCTTCTTCTTGGCCCCTAGCGTGATGAAGCTGAATTTGACCGCAGAGTCCACCGTCGTCGTGCTCACGCAGTTCTCCGCGAGGTCCTTCAGGTACTCCTGCCGCGTGCGGGTCGCCATGGCACGAAACTTCTCCGATTTGTGCGCCGCGTTTTCCCCGTTGATCACCTTGGCCAGCAGGAAGTCCCTGAAGACGGCTGACTTGGGAAAGGTCACGCCTTTAGGAACGGGAGGACCGAACGGAGGCACGTCTTTCGATCTGGATACCGCAACACTGCAAGGGCCACAACGAGGGATTGAATGACCGGTTTAACTAATGCAAAACAATATGAGATGCACTTCACAGATCTGAAAACATTTAAAAGAAATATTCTAATTCCGTGAAACAAAAAAAAAAAGAAGAGAAATTTTGAAGAAAGTTCATGCAGATCTTTCACAAAGAAAGCAGCAGTGAACATGAACTGGCAAGCTCCAAAAATAACAAAACAAGCATCATAAAAGTAGTCCATATTATAGATTTTCCAATAGAGTTTCATGATAAACAGACTGAAATATAAGTCTTTATTCACTGGAAACACAAGTGAAACAATATTCAAACTTTCAGACTTTTATGCTGCACGTTCAGTCACGAAAAGCAACAGCATTTGCTGTCACCAATGAGACAGAAGAGCTACAACAGGGCCAGTGTTATTATAATACTATTTGTATACTATTATAGTATTTATTAAGCATTTCTTTATCTATTAAGCTTTATTTTTATATTATTATTTTTATAATATTATATATATTATTTTTTGTAATTTTATAATTTTTTATAATTTATATATTTTTAGCTTATTTATTTTATTAGCTAATTTATTTTTGCTTCAGTTTTTGTCAATTTAGGCAACATTTATAATTTTTTTTGCAACATTCCTAATTTTTTTTTTTTCAGTTGTAGTTTTTCATCTAATATTTAAATTTTATTTCAGCTTTTGTAATTTATTTGTGCTTTTGTCATTTTTATTCGTTTTTATTTGTATTATATATTGTAAATTCTTTTATTCCTATATTCTAGGTTTATTATTCAACTTTTAAATGTCTTACCATTTTCATTTTAATGTAGCTGAGTGGTCATAAAAAGCAGTTCCCTGCATGTATGTGAAAAATAAAACAATTAATTTGATCCGATTCATTTTCAATATTTCAGCTTAAACTTATTTCAGTTGCCAAGACAGGGGCTACAAGGTAATTTTTTCATTATTTATTTATTTATTTTATTTTACATTTTGTTTTATTTATCAGCTTTATTTCAATGACCAAAAATAATAATTTTTCATCGTTTTAGTTAACAATAACAACATGAGACATGGAGAGAAGGAGAGAAGATTATCAGTGAATACTGACTTAAAATTAGCTTTGTTCCTAACATAAAGCTACAGTATGACTTCAGAAGACTTATAATATATAGAGCAGGAGTCATATGGACTATTTGTATGGTACTTTTATGCATTTTTGTCAATTTCTGTGCTTTTCTGCCACTGGTTACTGTAGGTTTCATTACATGGAAAAGAGCTGCACAAACCAGATTTCTCCATTTGAGTTCCACGGTTATTTGGAACAACATGAGGATGAGTAAATTATGACATAATTTAGTCTTTAATTGCAATAATTAAACGTCCCAAACAGCCTTTGGCACTGCTTTTAAACAGAAGATCAAAAACTACAGGCTATTTACAATTACAGGCAAGCCAAGCTTTGACACATGATCGATTCCTGTAAGTTCTCCAGCATTTAAGCTTCATTAAACTTAAACTTAATACATCAAAGGTGAATGAAATCACTTCATTTCTCTAAACAGCTATCATAGCGATCATCATTTACAGTGTAAATCAAAGGCGTCTGGTTCACTTGCCTGTAGCAGACGTTCTCAGTGCACGGATTGTGAACTTTAACGATGACGAACACATGCTGGAAATGGGAGCGGATGTTTTTGGGTGTGAAGGGCAAGGCACCGGGCTCCTGAAACACGATGGTGACGATGTCATTTCCTATGTGTCTCTTTCTGAGCAACTGGTGAGATGAGAAAGAACAGAGGTGAATGGACTCGGCGTGTGCCGTTTATTATAAGGACAGGTCAAACAGCAGCTTTTGCATGATTAGCAAGAACAGGAACAGGAAGTGAGGTGACACTGTGTAGTAACAAATCCACCAGCTTCAAAGAGCCCTGAAAAAAGGTGACATAACAATCCATTTCACTTTTTGGGCTAAAATGTACTAAATGAAACTCTTGATGACCGAAAAATAACTGAAAATTACATTTCTCTTTTGTAACCAGGGCCCAAAATGAACACTTGCAGAGTGGAACATAATAATAATAATAATAATAATAATAATTTTATGTTGTTAAAATTAGAGAAAAAACTAACTCTAATAATAATAATAATAATAATAATTTTATGTTGCTAAAAATAGTGAAAAATAAATGAACAACTATAATAATAATAACTCTAATAATAATAATAATTTCATGTTGTTAAAAATAAATAAACAATATATAATAATAATAATAATAATAATTCTTATTATTATTCATTTTAGGTTGTTAGAAATAGTGAAAAAAATATTAAACTCTACTACTGCTAATAATAAAATTATTAAAAATTCTGAAAATAAATAACATGTATTATTATTATATGAATAATAACAACAATAATTTTATGTTGCTAAAATAGTGAAAAAAACTCTAATAATAATAATAACAAAAATTATTTAAATGAACAACTATAATAATAATAACTCTAATAATAATAATAATTTCATGTTGTTAAAAATAAATAAACAATATATAATAATAATAATAATAATAATTTTATGTTGCTAAAAATAGTGAAAAATAAATGAACAACTATAATAATAATAACTCTAATAATAATAATAATTTCATGTTGTTAAAAATAAATAAACAATATATAATAATAATAATAATAATAATAATTTTATGTTGCTAAAAATAGTGAAAAATAAATGAACAACTATAATAATAATAACTCTAATAATAATAATAATTTCATGTTGTTAAAAATAAATAAACAATATATAATAATAATAATAATAATAATTCTTATTATTATTCATTTTAGGTTGTTAGAAATAGTGAAAAAAATATTAAACTCTACTACTGCTAATAATAAAATTATTAAAAATTCTGAAAATAAATAACATGTATTATTATTATATGAATAATAACAACAATAATTTTATGTTGCTAAAATAGTGAAAAAAACTCTAATAATAATAATAACAAAAATTATTTTATGTTCCTAAAAATAGTGCAAATTGAACACTTGCCAAGCGCAAAATGAGAGTAAAATAAATAAATAAAAAGCTATAATACTAACACTACTTCTACTACTACTAACAATGATGATAATTTTGTGTTGCTAAAAATATGTTTGTCCTCCAAATCAAAAGCCCCAAAAAATAAAATTTTCACAGCAAAAAGAAACAGATAAAAAATATAAGAGCTATTAATACATAAAAAAACCCAAAATAATCGGCAGCAATGTGCCATCTGGCATAATTTTGGCACAATAAATGGCACAAAAGACGCCTGCAGACGCTGTGAAAGACGACTTAAAATCTCTTAAGCTCATCCATAAGTACAATATCAGAATCTGGAGAGATTTTTAGCACAGTCAGCCCTTCATATCTCAAAGATATTTGATAAGGCAACGGAGTGAGGAACTCATAATATTCAATTAACCCCGAGCCTGCCTTCCTGTGAGTGGCCAAGGGTTACAAACAGGATTATGGGTGGATGAGAAGATGAGAGGCTGAACCGTGCCCGAGTCTTCTGGAAGCTTACGGACAGGGATTTATTCACTAATCCTGCGCAATCGAATAGAATTGAAGTTGGAGAAGAAAAAGACAGAAAATCCTCTAATCCTGCCAATCGACTGTCAAGAGATGTAAGTGACAGCGACACGGCTCCAGTCAAGAACCACGCAGCTGAAGTTAATGCATTTGATAGACTATAAACATATTATGCTATATAAAACAGACCCAATATATTTAATGCCATTACTTTTAATGCAGTTAATGCATTTACTAAATTTGACTTACTTAGTTACAAATCAAATCCAGACTTTTAACAAAAGTGAAGTCTGCAGTCTTTGAGTGTCAAAATTCTATTGAATTTGACTTTTTTTACATAATATTTTGTTTTCTTCACCAAAAAGAAGTAAATGCTTTAAAATGCACATGCGTACAATTTAGAAATAAAACAAGACAAAAGAAAAAAAAAGAAAAACAAATAATGGGGACAAAACAGGAAATAATTAAAAATAAACTATATTCAGAATACAGTATATGCTGGAAATAATTATAAACTGTTCAAACCTATGGGGGGGGGGGGGGTTTAAAAAATTTTTAAAAAAAAATTTTATGTTCCTAAAAATAGTGCAAATTGAACACTTGCCAAGCGCAAAATGAGAGTAAAATAAATAAATAAAAAGCTATAATACTAACACTACTTCTACTACTACTAACAATGATGATAATTTTGTGTTGCTAAAAATATGTTTGTCCTCCAAATCAAAAGCCCCAAAAAATAAAATTTTCACAGCAAAAAGAAACAGATAAAAAATATAAGAGCTATTAATACATAAAAAAACCCAAAATAATCGGCAGCAATGTGCCATCTGGCATAATTTTGGCACAATAAATGGCACAAAAGACGCCTGCAGACGCTGTGAAAGACGACTTAAAATCTCTTAAGCTCATCCATAAGTACAATATCAGAATCTGGAGAGATTTTTAGCACAGTCAGCCCTTCATATCTCAAAGATATTTGATAAGGCAACGGAGTGAGGAACTCATAATATTCAATTAACCCCGAGCCTGCCTTCCTGTGAGTGGCCAAGGGTTACAAACAGGATTATGGGTGGATGAGAAGATGAGAGGCTGAACCGTGCCCGAGTCTTCTGGAAGCTTACGGACAGGGATTTATTCACTAATCCTGCGCAATCGAATAGAATTGAAGTTGGAGAAGAAAAAGACAGAAAATCCTCTAATCCTGCCAATCGACTGTCAAGAGATGTAAGTGACAGCGACACGGCTCCAGTCAAGAACCACGCAGCTGAAGTTAATGCATTTGATAGACTATAAACATATTATGCTATATAAAACAGACCCAATATATTTAATGCCATTACTTTTAATGCAGTTAATGCATTTACTAAATTTGACTTACTTAGTTACAAATCAAATCCAGACTTTTAACAAAAGTGAAGTCTGCAGTCGTTGAGTGTCAAAATTCTATTGAATTGGACTTTTTTTACATAATATTTTGTTTTCTTCACCAAAAAGAAGTAAATGCTTTAAAATGCACATGCGTACGATTTAGAAATAAAACAAGACAAAAGAAAAAAAAAGAAAATAAACAAATAATGGGGACAAAACAGGAAATAATTAAAAATAAACTATATTCAGAATACAGTATATGCTGGAAATAATTATAAACTGTTCAAACCTATGGGGGGGGGGGGGAATCTAACATATTGTTAAAAAGAGGGAAGAAATAATAATATAAATACTTCCATATTCATATTTACTCTCACATACTTAGATTAATAAATATATATTTGAATTTATAAATACATATTCAGATTTTAAATGTATTGGGAAGTACTACATCAACTACTGTATATTAATATCAAAACCTGATGATCATGTACCAAAGATGTACCAAAGAGCATGGGGCTTATAACTAACTAACTAACTAACTAAATAAATAAATAATGGCTGTGGGCCAAAAGTGACTGCCAGACAATGGTAGTATCTGATAAAGAGGACATATCATGGTTAATACCATGTACAGTCTTTATTACACAAGAAATCCCATCAGGCTGATCAGAAGGCCGAATGTGAAGCCATTAGCCAATCACAGCAGAGCTGATCAGCATAAGGAGTGTAAGTGTAGTTGAGCCGCACCTGCTGTCTGTTGTTGGGAGTGTAGGGCAGGAGTGTGGACACGTGGAACATCAGCTCATAGTCTTTATAGGTGGTGTAGAGCGAGTGAGAGCCGGTGGAGTCCGCTGGAACAACAGCAGAGCCAGTCAATACACCCAAAACACATCCTGCGCTACAGAAAGAGCTTTTCTGGATTGTTCTCCGCTGATCCAGTCCATTTCTACTCGCCCTGACAATTTCAGCATCTAGTATTTGTAGTATTTAGTGTGATTTTAGGATCATTGAGATACTACTACAGTTTTTTATTAATATTTGAATCAGTAATTTTGCAGGTTTTTTTGTCATTCGTAGTTTTGCATATAGATATATATATATATATATAGATAGATAGACAGATAGATCGATAGATATAGTTTTTAATAAAAAAATACATAGATTATATGTATATATATATATATATATATATATACAGTGGGTACGGAAAGTATTCAGACCCCCTTATATTTTTCACTCTTTGTTATATTGCAGCCATTTGCTAAAATCATTTAAGTTAATTTTTTTTCCTCATTAATGTACACACAGCACCCCATATTGACAGAAAAACACAGAATTGGTGACATTTTTGCAGATTTATTAAAAAAGAAAAACTGAAATATCACATGGTCCTAAGTATTCAGACCCTTTGCTCAGTATTTAGTAGAAGCACCCTTTTGATCGAATACAGCCATGAGTCTTTTTGGGAAAGAGGCAACAAGTTTTTCACACCTGGATTTGGGGACCCTCTGCCATTCTTTTTTTTTTTTTTTACATTTTATTTCAGTTTTAGTAATTTTAATTAAGAAAGAAATATAAAGAAATGCTAATATATAGTTATGAATATACAGTTAGAAATAATTTTAAATTGTTCAAACCTGAGAGGGAAAAAAAGAGTTCACAAAAGGGGGAAAAGTAATATTCATATAGTAATATTCATTTTATTTATAAATATAAATATAGATTTAAAGTAAAATAAAATAAGTATACACACTATGTAAAAGTGCTATTTTGTGAAGTGTTTGAGCACAATATACAATGTTTGTTTATTATTAATAATAATAATAAAATATTTAAAAACTTAAATAATTTAAGTAAATAAAGTATACATTTCTCGAAGCAACAAATATGCAATGAGCACAGTATGCATTGTGCCTGTTTATTTATTTGTAATAATAAAAACAATAACAATATCATAATATATATATATACATATACTTCTTCGTAAAGGTGAAAAAGTAAATGCTATTCCTTGAAGCAACAAAAAAAAATGCAAATGTGTTTGAGAGCAAAATTATTATTTTTAATAATAATTGAATATATTTTTTATAATAATAATAATAATAATAATTACTATTTTTAATCATAATTAAGTAAATAATAAATAATAGTGTGTATATATATATATATATATATATATATATATATAATTTTGTAAATGTGGAAAAGTGCTATCAAGCAGCAAAGAGAGTGTCAAGTGCTTGAGGCTGATATGCTCTGTGCTGTATGTTGATGGTGTTAGCATTAGCACATACTCTTGTTGTCCAGCTGTGCTCGGTACTTGGTGAAGCCCTTCAGCCGGACTCTCTGACCGAGCAGATCCAGGAACTCGTCCAGCGGCGGGCCGGCGTTCTCATTATTGTACATCTCCTCCTCTGTGCTCTGCCCCGCTTTACAGTACAGGACGCCCACTTTGTGCTGGAAGCTCAGCTGCAACGCAATCAAACACAGATTACATTTCATTACTGTCATACACTGTCTCGAGGTCAATAAGTGCTACAGAGGCTACTTCCGTCTTTAAAGAGGGATTGTGGGCAATTCAAACAGTTTAAAACCAATCAGTCAGGCACGTAAACAGATGAAGTCATGAATGAAACGGTCATCTCTGCATTCATCAGGCAGCTGCGCGTTTCTTTTTACACGAGTCCATTCAGAAGAGCTAAGTCTGTGATATAAACATCAGTTCAGCAGGTAGAACAAGGACTACAAATTCATGAGGATTTAATCATCATTATGGAAATGGAAGGATTACGTTGATAAACTCAACAGCAGCCGAGTGGAAAACCTGCGTCTTTGGGATCGTCATGTTTCACCTGTGAAATTACGGGTGAAATGTGTCATTTAACTTTGAAATAATTATCGCTTCCAAACAGGTTTCTCAAACTACTACTACTACACGCACACACACACATATGTACTGTATGTATGTATGTATGTATGTATGTGTGTGTGTGTGTGTGTTTTCCTTTGGAAACATACATGTTCTTGTTTAGATTGAGGCAGTGTTATTTGAGTTATTTAATTATGTACTTATGCACTTTTATAATATTTTGAATTAACTTTTATTTTCATATTCCAGTTTTAATTTTAGATTAAATCATTACATTTTATTGTGGATTTTTATTTTTCTAAATTCTAATTAAGAATTATTAAATTATTATTTTTAATATTTATATTTTATTTAAACTAACTAAAAATAAAAAAATTTATAAAATCTAAATAATGATAACAACACTATGCAAATAAATGAGATATATTCTGCTCGCTTTGCTGTGTTATAGCTATAAAATAAAATCTACTTAGAATAAGCAGAACAATCCGCAAAATGAGACACAAAAAATATTTAACATCAAAAACAGTGCAGTGCTTTAACCATAACAATAATAATAACAATAAAACCATTATTATTATTATTAAAGAAATTGCATACACATACACTTTTTTGTAAGAGAAAAAGTAAATGCTATTTTGTAAAGAGAGCACAATACACTAAAACAATCCTGGGTTATTTTTTTTAACCCAAATGCTGGGGTTATTTTGTCAGTGTTCGGGTAGTTTTTGTGTTACCCAGCTCCTGGGTCAAATGTAACAACCCAGTGTTTGGCTTGTTTTGCAGCTCCTGGGTCAGACATAACCCAATGTTTGGGTAGTTTTAGTGTTACTCAGATGCAGGGTCAGACGTAACCCAGCGGTTGAGTTATTTATCGGGGGGGATTTCGCATCTTCTCTTCACGAGAGAGCAGTTCTAAGCGCAATCGAATTGATGCATTCTTCAGTAAAATACAGGTTTGTGTACATTTTATTTTTATCTATAAAATCGTTACTGTGCTGTATATAGTTACATTTTATGCAGAGCAACATACAGGCGTGCGGTGTGAATCACCTTTAAGGAGTGTCGCGGTCTTTTCGCGTGATGGAAAAGCCTGATGCTTTGCATAAAATAAACGATTTTATTCATAAAGTTACAGAATTGAATACTTTGTTTGGCTGTAAAAACATGTCCACAGAGTTGTTTATTGTTTGTTTATTGGCAGGTTATGGAGTCACAGCATGTTTGGGCTAGAGTGAAACGCTTGGGCGGCGGTCCGTTAGCAGTTCCCCGCCGAACACGACTCCAGCTGGTTACGGTGGAAACAGAATAACAGAGACTGGTCGATCACACGTGAATTACTTCTGTTTAATGTTGAATTAATAATAAAAACAAACAAACCAGCCTGAGGTGGTTTGCTGGTCTAGTTTAAGCTAGTTTAGCTGACAAAGTGCTCAAACCACTCTAAAACCATCAAAAGAGTGGGTCAAGATAAGCAAACCACCTGTTTTTCCTCACTTCAACATTAACGATTCCAATCAGTCTCTTGAATTTCCCTCATTTCATTTGATCAGAAGTGAGCTGTGACAGAAATACAGCTTACAGTTACTAGAAAACAACTGCAATCAGTCACAATCCAGCACTGAGTCGTGATGAACGATTAAAAAAAAAAACAGCCAAACGCTCCTCCTTACGCAAGCGTAACCCAGTTGTGATGCGCTGAGCGCGGCTGATGAGGCAGGAGTCAGACTCCACTTTCTTACGAGGGTCAAGTATTCCCAGCGTGCATCCATACTGTTGTCATGGCGACCTTGCACTCGGAAACCTAGGAACAGCCAGTGACTTCCACGGTGTCTACTCGAGCAACGCTAATGCAGTCCAGAGGAGATGCCCTACTTGGCTTTAAGAAGGACACTCATCACACACACACACACACACACATACACACACACACACACACAGGGATGAGTGCAGTGAACTCGAGTTATAAAAGAGGTAAATGACGACATCCAAACTGCTGACACATTCTGAATGGGTTGATATACAGTCAACAGGCAGATTTTAGACAAAGAAAACGTGTCTGAGAAGACATAAAATGCTTGCAGGAGTCAGAAACACAGAGGGGCAAATATAACGTGAGCAGTCACATGAGCAAACAGTGTCACTTTTACGCCAGACGTAATGGGACACACACCTTCCAAAAAGTTCAACTTTTGTCTCGTCAGTCCACAGAGTATTTTCCCAAAAGTCTTGGGGATCATCAAGATGTTTTCTGGCAAAACTGAGACGAGCCTTTATGTTCTTTTTGCTCAGCAGCGGTTTTCGTCTTGGAACTCTGCCATGCAGACCATTTTTGCCCAGTCTCTTTCTTATGGTGGAGTCATGAACACTGACCTTAACTGAGGCAAGTGAGGCCTGCAGTTCTTTGGATGTTGTTGTGGGGTCTTTTGTGACCTCTTGGATGAGTCGTCACTGTGCTCTTGGGGTAATTTTGGTCGGCCGGCCACTCCTGGGAAGGTTCTCCACTGTTCCATGTGTTTGCCATTTGTGAATAATGGCTCTCTCGACGGTTTACATTTCAACAGCATCAAATAGTCAAAAGTTCAGTTATAAACCCTAGTGAGCTGCCTACCTAAGAAATCATATTTTTAAGTAATATAATACATTTAAAAAGTCAAAATTATTTATTAATTTTTTTTAAATTGATTTAAAAAAAAAAAAAAAAAAAAAAGGTTTTCGAAATAGATTGATCGATTTTTACCATAATTTCTGTTAAGTGCCAAATCTTTACTCTGTTTGGATGGCCATTATGAAAACTGGGTTACACTTTACTTGAAGGGGTGTGCATAAGACTGACATGACACCTTCATAATCATGACATGACACATGTCATGAATATGAAGGAGGTTTTAGTGTTGTAAATACAACTTAACCACTGATTTCTGGTCGTGTCCTCTTTGGAAGACCAAACAAAGTAGTTTTGCTTTTACAACAAAACACAGCGTCACACACGGCGGGCTAGAGTGAGCAGAGGCTGGCGGGCTTGCGGCAACCACATGTGACGACCCCGGGCTGGACTCCACTTCGTTCACGGTGAAAGCCGATCCGGCGATCCACAGCATGAAGTTGATGTATTTCCTCAGCGACCAGCACGGATCAGCTCCAGGCATGACAAAGCGGATATCGTCCTCTTTTGGAAGACCGAACAAAGTAGTTTCGCTTTCACAACGGAGCACACAGCGTCTTCACGACATGGCTGCAGCGTCAACAATACTACAGCGAGAATAAAAGTTACGCATTCTTTCTTTGCGTGAACATTTGGGCGGCGTTATGCAAATCTTCCCACATCGTGATGTAGACATGTGGGGGCGTGTTAGAACGAGCCGTTTTAGGTAGGAGTGGTCGACTCAACTTTTATAAAGAATATCTCTTTGCATTTGAGACTTTAGTCTTTGCAACTTTACAGATCTTCTTTATGCACCAAGAGCTTGTAACACTCCAAAGAGAAAGGAAAAATTGAAATCGCATCATATGACCCCTTTAAGATGAAGAATTGGGTGTGAAACCACCAGGAACCCTTTAGTCTCCAGCACCACCATTTTCCAGAACTGCAACCTATCTGGAGTCTCCAGAAGACAAGGTGTCTGGTTCTCAGAGACTTTGCTTGGGTACTTGGGTAAAAAAAAATGACCCTCACTTAATTAGAATAACATGCTGAAGTGTTGTGAAATACATGAAGACTGATTTTTATATTTTTATAGGACAGATGAGTTGAGAGTGACTCTTGAAGGACCAGCATCACATCCTCTTGTACCACTCTTTCAAGAATTGATCTTCCAGAATCTGGCAGTAAGTTTTGGGAGCTCATTTTTATGCCCAGTTCAGACTACACGATTTTAGCCCAATTTTGCCACGATTTGCTTGACGTAGGGTGTTGTGGGAATTCGTGAACGACAATGGGCGTCGGGATGCAAGATTCCATCGTTTCAGCTCGTGTAGTGTGTCATAGTGGACGACAACCGATTCCACGTCTGCGATGCTTCACGACAGAAAGACTAGCATGTTTGATTTTTTTTCCCGTCGTCCACGACGAGTTCCGTCACATTGGTGACGTTGACCAATAGCAGCACAGAAGCTCTTTCATACACCGGTGTCAAACATGGCGAAACGAAAGAGAGATGATGGTGCTGCTAGGTGGAATTATGAGATGGAGGAAAGGTTCGTGGAGCTGTGGCAACAGTACTCCTGCCTGTATGATGTGTCATCGAGGGACTACCACAACAGAACAAAGAAAGAAAAATGCCGGAGAACTATAACAAAGCGCTTCAGCAATGTTTACATTCTTGATTTCGGAAGACAGTCGCCTAGTTCCGATGACATCACGCGAGACGTTAAAGATGCCACGCGATGAATGGTCGGGAAGCAACGTGTAGTCTGACATGTTTCTTGTCCACGAAACAACAAGATTTTAGGAGTCCAAATTGTGTAATCTGACACAGTCACTATCGTGACCGACAAAAATACTGTGTAGTCTGAAACCGGCATTAGTCCATCTCTGCAAGACAGACTTTTCAGGATAGGAGATTGACTAAAAATGAGCTCCCAAAGCTTACTGACAGATTTTTCTAAAAGTAAAAGTAATCGAAACTAAAATTCAGAATCTCTAACGGTCATAATTTTCCCATGTCGGTTATTTAGTTTTTTTTAATCCTGTTAATACATTCCTCTTAAAAACATACTACTGTGTGTGTAATTGGCGCTATACGGGCGTGTATGATATTTTTGCTGAATGCTGCATCTCACGTTTTTAGACGTGAAGACATGTTCTGTGTGAATGGCCAGTAAGAACCTAGAGTAAATATTTGCGTCGACTCAACTTTTATAAAGAATATCTCTTTGCATTTGAGACTTTAGTCTTTGCAACTTTACAGATCTTCTTTATGCACCAAGAGCTTGTAACACTCCAAAGAGAAAGGAAAAATTGAAATCGCATCATATGACCCCTTTAAGATGAAGAATTGGGTGTGAAACCACCAGGAACCCTTTAGTCTCCAGCACCACCATTTTCCAGAACTGCAACCTATCTGGAGTCTCCAGAAGACAAGGTGTCTGGTTCTCAGAGACTTTGCTTGGGTAAAAAAATCCTAAAAAATGACCCTCACTTAATTAGAATAACATGCTGAAGTGTTGTGAAATACATGAAGACTGATTTTTATAGGCTTTATGGACAGATGAGTTGAGAGTGACTCTTGAAGGACCAGCATCACATCCTCTTGTACCACTCTTTCAAGAATTGATCTTCCAGAATCTGGCAGTAAGTTTTGGGAGCTCATTTTTATGCCCAGTTCAGACTACACGATTTTAGCCCAATTTTGCCACGATTTGCTTGACGTAGGGTGTCGTGGGGATTCGTGAACGACAATGGGCGTCGGGATGCAAGATTCCATCGTTTCAGCTCGTGTAGTGTGTCATAGTGGACGACAACCGATTCCACGTCTGCGATGCTTCACGACAGAAAGACTAGCATGTTTGATTTTTTTTCCCGTCGTCCACGACGAGTTCCGTCACATTGGTGACGTTGACCAATAGCAGCACAGAAGCTCTTTCATACACCGGTGTCAAACATGGCGAAACGAAAGAGAGATGATGGTGCTGCTAGGTGGAATTATGAGATGGAGGAAAGGTTCGTGGAGCTGTGGCAACAGTACTCCTGCCTGTATGATGTGTCATCGAGGGACTACCACAACAGAACAAAGAAAGAAAAATGCCGGAGAACTATAACAAAGCGCTTCAGCAATGTTTACATTCTTGATTTCGGAAGACAGTCGCCTAGTTCCGATGACATCACGCGAGACGTTAAAGATGCCACGCGATGAATGGTCGGGAAGCAACGTGTAGTCTGACATGTTTCTTGTCCACGAAACAACAAGATTTTAGGAGTCCAAATTGTGTAATCTGACACAGTCACTATCGTGACCGACAAAAATACTGTGTAGTCTGAAACCGGCATTAGTCCATCTCTGCAAGACAGACTTTTCAGGATAGGAGATTGACTAAAAATGAGCTCCCAAAGCTTACTGACAGATTTTTCTAAAAGTAAAAGTAATCGAAACTAAAATTCAGAATCTCTAACGGTCATAATTTTCCCATGTCGGTTATTTAGTTTTTTTTAATCCTGTTAATACATTCCTCTTAAAAACATACTACTGTGTGTGTAATTGGCGCTATACGGGCGTGTATGATATTTTTGCTGAATGCTGCATCTCACGTTTTTAGACGTGAAGACATGTTCTGTGTGAATGGCCAGTAAGAACCTAGAGTAAATATTTGCACATATAGAGGGACAGGATGATCACATGCAACAGCGATCAGGAGTCAGATTCACATCTATAACGTTATGAGCACACAGCCCTGTCCAAGCCCTGCTCTTGCTCTTAATCAGCAGTGTTCTGTTTACATCTTTGCACATGGCATTATTTCAAATATTTGTTTATTTTCTACTTTTCATATTGCATTATTTAAAAGAATATTTATTTACAAGAGATACAAGCTATTTTCTACTTTTCACATGACAATATTTAAAATGTATTTTGTTTGCTAAAGATGCTGGTATTAATTTCCTTAAAACAAACAAACAAAAAAAGAATATAACCAGACAAAAATAAATTACTGGGCTTTTCATTCATATGACACAAGGTCTATATTGAGCACTAAAGAAATCTTCAAGAAACGCTTCTCTTTAAAGACGATAATGAAGCATTATTGAGAGGGTGGGAATGGAAAGTCTCTATGTATGAAATAAAATGTAATTCCGGATATATGCCAACCTCATTCACACTTCCACTCAAAGTTGGGAAATCAATGGGCGACTGGAGCGGTTATTGATCGACCCTTAACGTCATATTGGCTGATTCTGAGAGTCTGTGGACATGGCAAAAACAGCTCGACATCCGGTGTTTCTGAGACCAATTGCAAGGTGATTTTTAGTCACATGACCATGCATTATTTGCATGAACACTTTATGTACTCTTGTGTTGCAGATATATTTGGATTGTGAGAAACGGTTACTCCACTTATTCTTTAGGCGTCTTTACAACGAGTTAAGGCTGCTTAAAATTTAGTCTAAAGATGCAATGCTGCATTAAAGCCAGACTAAATTATGCCTGTTCTGATCAACAAAGTATACAGTATATCAAAGCGTATGTTTACATTTTTTTTTAAAAATGTTCAAGAATCAGTCGATATTGATAGACCACTACTCTGAACATTACAACAATAAATGATGCTTATCGTTAAAAAACATCAGCAAAAGCACTTTAATAAAAGACACCATGCATTAGGGCCGCACGATTAATCTAAATAAAACCATAATTGTGAAATGACTTAGTGCAAGTACAACAATGGCAAAGGCTGCAATTTAATTCAATAAATATATGCTCCCTGCGGTTTTCCATCAGAATAAAAGTTTGATGGTTAAACGTTGGAAAATTAGGAAATTAAGACAGCCATAAATATTAGTATTTTATTTTTCAGTTATAATGTGAAATAAAATTATTATTTTTTTAAATACTCTTTTTATTTTACAGTGAAACATTACAATAGCAATATTTCTTATTTTAGTTTGTATTAATTATTATTATTATTATTGTTATTAATAATAATAATAATAATAAATGTATGGTCTCTCTGCGGTTTAATGTTGGAAAATGAGTAAATTAAGACAGCCATAAATATTTGTATTTTACAGATGTCATGTAAAATACAATTATTATTATTATTATTATATTTTCTTAAATACGCTCTATTATTATTTTACAGTGAAATATCACAATAGCAATATTTCTTATTTTATTTATTGTAGTTTTATTTAATATGATTAGTAGTAGCAGTAGTAGTAGTAGCAATAATAATAATAATAATGTGTTTTTCATTGATTTTATTATCTTATCTTTTATGATTTTATTGATCGTATTATTTAATATTAGTTACTATTATTATTTTATAGACATATTAATATATATTCACCAAATGTTGGTAAAATTGTGCAGCTTTACAATACAAACAAGCACAACGTGTTCGTGAATGCGTGTGTTTTTAAACGTCGCTTGAAAACATACCTGTATAGATGTGCTTTTAATATTTTGTGATGTTTTTGTGTATTTTTGGGTTTGATCTTTTTTTGCTTTATCATATATTGTGTATAGCTCTTCATAAATGTATCTTTTATGATTGTGTTTTTATATTGTGTAAAGCACTTTGTGCGTTGTAGCTTTAAAAGTGCTGTATAAATAACATTTTACTTACAACAAACTTGGAATTATTTTAAATTTCATAATTTTTTTTTTTTTGCAATTTTTATATGAAAAATCACAATTTGATTTTTTCCCCAAATCGGGCAGTCCTAATATGCATATCAGAATATCATTTTCTCATCAAATTGTATTTGAGCTCTTTAATACACACCCCCTGCTCGTCCAGTTTGAGGAGCTGCTCTGGGACTCTGGGTGAGCTGATGGCCAGTCGGAGGCACTGGATGTTCAGCTCAGGAACCACGTACTCCAGCACCTCCTTCAGCGGGAGACCGCGGGCCGTCCCGTGCCTCGCCGTGGAGGGCACAGCGTCCTCTAGAATCGCCCCGCGCAAGGTAGTTAACTGAGAGAACGAGAGAGCAGAGCTGTTAGTACAGGAATCGAACAGCGCATGTATTACACATGCATTAAACAGCAAGGACATTTTCCTGCCTCAAACTATCAAAATCTTATGACAAGGCAGTGGATTTTTACTAGTCTGCTCAATATATATCAAACGAGTGTTTGACCTCAAGTACTAAATCCTGTCAGTCTATGAGAAAACTCAATACTTTCAATTAAAAAAAATACATGGATCCATTGGGATATTAAGTTATTGGCAATGAAATTCTCCCTCCCTGCAGGAGATTTGAGGGCTCGCTCTTGTCTGGAAGGAAGAAATTGAGTCTCGACTCATTTATCTGCACTTTCACTTATAAAGTAAAAGCCTTTTATGCTGAATGCTGATTTGAAGCACTAGCATCTCTTTAAAGACTCATTCTGAGGTCTTGATTCATGCGAATATCTATGCTTCATAATTCAGATGAATTGTGAATGAGTGCCATCAGAAGCTAAAGATCAAAGCCTGAGGATTAATGCAACAATGCATTTGATAAGAGAGAGGAACTGATGCAGACAATATCTGCAGTTACTGTCCTCGATAATTTTAATAATAATATTTCACCTCATAAAAAAGGAAATATATATATACACACACACACACACACACACACACACATGTAAAACAAATTAAGAAAATTAATTTCATTTCAGGTCTATTACGATTATTTCTATTTTTTATTAAAATTAAATTTCATTAAAGATCATCCATCCTAAAATAAATAATATTATTCTTACAATTATTCTAATATTTGTATTATTTATAATTTAAAAAATGAAGTTAATTTTAGGACCATTATGATTTTTGCATTGTGACTTTATTTTCACGACAATTAAGATCATCTTTCCAAACATTAAACAAACAAAAACAAACAAACAAACAAATAAATATTTCACCTCATGAAAAAGAAACAAGGTCATTTATTTTTCATAAAGATAATTAAGTTCAACTTAGGTCTAATAATATTATTTTCATTAATTAAATGTCATTAAAGATAATCCATCCTAAATGAACGAATTAATGAGTACCTAAATAAATAAATAAATAAATAAATAAATAGAATTTAGAAAATTCAGTTTATTTTAGGACCATTAAAATTTTTGCATATTGGCTTACATTTTTGCATTGTAAGTAAGTAAATAAATAAATCAATATTTGCTTATATTTTCATTATTTGGACAGAAACAATTTTTTTGTCGACAAATACAATTATTAGCAATGGATTTCTCCTGGGGATGATACATTTTACTATATTTATATTTTAACATAAATAACAATTTAATATATTTTATAGCTTGTAAGTTTGAAAGAGGGAGAGTTTTACCTCCTAATAATAATTCAATGTTTAATATTAGGTACAATTTGAATTCATTTAAACGTGGAACTATTTCCATGTTCATTTATTAATTTATTCTTCTAAAACAACTTTTTTTCAACTTTTTACTACAATTAGAGACGTCAATCAATTAATTTGAAAACAAATTTTGATTTGAAAACATCAATATTTGTGGAGTAATTCATGTGCACTCATCAAGTACCTGACTGGTCCTGAAGGTGATGCGATAGTTATACTGCGACGCCTCCTTGTCTTTCCCATCATCCAGCTTTTCTCTCCGTACGCTGATGGCCACCGGACCCAAGCTTTCATCCACGCCGAAGTAGTTCTGGTGCTCTGAGGGTTAACGACAGGAGAGATATGAGGTCAGGTTCAAGAAGGACAGATAACACTTTCCAAGAATATCCTACAGAGTGAGTGAGAGAAGCGGACAGGAAGAGCCCGACAGGAAGTGGGCTATTTCAGCTCCACAGAAGGGCCATTGACAGCCGCTCTAGTGCTGCTTATCTGAGAGGTCACGCTGAGGAGATACAGACAGTACAGACAGTACAGACGCAAGACTCAAGATCTATAAAGGGCTACAGACCAAAAGCAGCAGAGCTTTACATGAAACAGCTATGATGACTTTGATGATTAAATGGACAAAATAAATAGAAATGATTCATGTGTATCGATTCCTGACGTCATTTTTCCACAAAACTACTGCAATGTAAGTTATGTTTGTATGACTAAAAGGATGAATCTCAAGTCTGTCAAGAACACGTTCATATAAATATTTCACTCCATGAAAAGAGAATTATATTTTGCATTAAAAACATTTTAATTTATTTTAGAACCATTACAAAAAAAAAAAGTTTTTCTTTTTTTTTTAGTAAAATATGACATGGTCTAGTAGATAGGCTTCTTTATATTCATCCAAAATAATAATAATAATAATAATAATCATCATCATCATCATTAAAATGATCATTTAGAAAATGAAGCTTATTTTAGGACCATTAAGATTATTTTCAGAGCAATCGATGATCAAATGATCATCTGTTCCAAACAAACAAATAAATAAATAAGGTCATACATTTATTTTATTTGGTAGTAACTTAATTTAAAATGCGTTCTAAATTATTTTCTCTTTTGATTTTATAAAATATGAAATGATTTTGATAGGCTTCTTCATCATCTGTTCCAAACAACAAAGAAACTTTTAAAATAATTTATTTAATTGATAATAACTTAATATTAAATACTTTATAAATTATTTTCTCTCTTGATTTTTGGAATAAAATATGACATGCTCTTGATAGGCTTCATGAAATGAAATATTAAATTAAATGAAATATAAAATTAAATGAAATATGGATTACTCTAATTCTGCATTATAGGGCTGTCAAAATGGATGAAAAACTAAATTAGAATTTCGTACTTAAATATTATCAAAATTCGAATTATATTCGAATTTAAAATGCATAATTTCAGTTACGGTGAAGAAAATATTTTGGCTTCTCTCCTGAGGCCACAAGAAAGTGCATCGAGCAAAATATTACTAATGCACGTTTATTCAAAGCATAAGATAACATGACTATCTGTGTAAAAAATGCATAATGTTTAAAATAATGTTTATAAACCAATTATAATTAAGTTGCTTAAACAATTAAAAAAACAGCATCATGTATGTATGCATGGTTTAATACAAAGGGCCGAAAGCCAATCACACAGAGTATATTTTTAATTTAAAAACACGATGGGGATGGGGAAAAAACCCCCGCCATAAAGTCTCGAGATACATTTTTTCAAAGTTAAACTTGCATTCATTTTACATGGCTTTCTAAACATGCGGCTCTTTTGTGCGAGACGCGAGTGCAACGGTGATAGATGTCCCTCTAGAAAATGCGCAAAATATGCGTTCTGTGTGAACGGCTTGGTTTCAGTTTTGACATGAACAAGATCTTCTCCGCATTGACGTTCTCTTTTACCACAATATTTGTAAATTAACAACGCAGCAGCGCCGCATATAGTGGCTTCAACTGGATAGGCCAACAAAGTTTGCATTCGTTTGCAACGTTTTTGCATTCGAATGTGGATTTTTATTTTAAATTCGACGAATATTCGAAATTCTAAAAAAATTTTTTACAGCCCTACTGTATTATAATGGAGAAAAGTTAAATGTCCTTCTAGTTATCTGTAATGTCAACAAGGCAATCTGGATCAGACCACATCTCACAGACACATTAGTGTCATATATGAACCATAATCTCTGATTTCACTGCACCATAGTGGTCCGCCAGAGATTACCAACAGAAATAAAACCCGCCACAGACGAAGCTTAACCTCTTTCTTCTTGATATCCTTTTCAGTAAGCCCCTTTGGAGACAAACATGCATTTGAACAGCCTGTTGAAAACCTGAGGCCAAAATTATGCAACATGATGGACAATGTGGACTATAGCATGACATGGAGGGAGGGAAACATTAGGATAATGATGCAAAACTCTTAATATATGGGATAACAACAGCAAAAAAATATAAAAAAAAAATAACAGGGATTGAGCAGCTCACTTAATGTGAATGAAAAGCAAACACAAGCTAATATAAAGTTATGATAGCAGGCGCGACCTGAATGATGGAGGATATCTGAAACCGTTTTGTTTTGTTTTTACATACTATGGAAGTTAATGGGGACCAGCAACTGAAGGAGAACTATCCCTTTAATCCACCTCAAAGCCAGGGGTGAAGAACAAGAAACACCCTCACCGGGACACTTCATCTCATCCTCTCTAAAGGACTCAAGAGGTTAAAGCTCAAAGCTGAAGTAAAGAGTAAAACAACATGACTACTGTCGTCTAAAATCCACTTTATCAAAACCCTGCTGGAAAATCCAGTTACAACCAGCTTTTGATGAATCATCATCTGGTTTTGACAGGGTAGATCTTGGTCGAGCTGGATTTGTGAAGATACCATGGTACTTTCATATATATCATGGTACCGAATGATTTCCTTGTTTAGATCAAGTATTCTACATTTACAGTTTGGGGTCAGTAAGAACCTAATATTTACAAAGCTGAAGTAAAGAGTAAAACAACATGACTACTGTCGTCTAAAATCCACTTTATCAAACCCTGCTGGGAAATCCAGTTACAACCAGCTTTTGATGAATCATCATCTGGTTTTGACAGGGTAGATCTTGGTCGAGCTGGATTTGTGAAGATACCATGGTACTTTCATATATATCATGGTACCGAATGATTTCCTTGTTTAGATCAAGTATTCTACATTTACAGTTTGGGGTCAGTAAGAACCTAATATTTTTACTCATCATGGAAGCAGTGACAGTAAAGGCTATTTCAAATAAATTCTGTTCTTTCAAACTTTCTTTTCATCAAAGAATCCTTGAAAAAAATGTTTCACGGTTTCCATAGAAATATGGAAAACATTATTTCAACATTAATAATAACCAAAAAAAATTTTGATCAGCAAATCAGCATATTAGAATGATTTCTGAAGATCATGTGACACTGAAGACTGGAGTAATGATGCTGAAAATTCAGCTTTGATCACAGAAATAAATTACATTTTACAATATATTCCCATACAAAACAGTTATTTTAAATTGTAATAATATTTTACTATTTTTAATGTGTTTTTGATCAAATAAACGCAGCCTTGGAGAGCAGAAGAGACCTTTTTCAAAAAAAATAAAAACTTCTGAACAGTAGTGTACATGTATTGATTTAGCAGAGTCTTTGAGGAAAAACACTGGTAGACCTGGTAGACCACCTTGGACCAGGAACACACCAGCAAACATTTTCTAAAAACACTATGACCACTTTAAACTGTCTGACCTAATAAACAGACAAAGCGTGAAATGTAACTATGACACATCAGTTTGTCACCAACGAGAAGCATTGAGCTGAGCCATGATTCTTAACAAGATGAAGTATTATTAATATTCATGCATTAATGCAGACTTTCAGTGGGCATGTCATGTCTTGCATCCCCGATCATGCAGCATCTTGGTCACGAACAGGGGAAAACGGGAGAGGAAGTTCATGGAATCAATGCTTCTCCCTAGGTGATAAAAGCATCATGGAAAGTAAGGTGTGAAAGGGGATAGTGGCTCTTGGGAGAGACATGTTGACAGGCCTGTCCTTTCCATGTCCCTCTAGAGACGATGATGGGGTGATGAGCAGCTATGAAAGGTTAAATGGACTCTGACTGTTAGTGTGAAGTCGAGAATGTCAGACTGTCAAAATAAAATCAGTTTCTGTATTGAATCATTCAAAACCAACATTCATCTTGAAGTAAGTTATGCATTCAAATTAATTCAATTTAACATTATGAATTCAAGTTATGCATTCCATTTAATTTGATATAAAGTTATGCATTCAATTTAACATTGCACATTCCATTTAATTAAATTTAGTTATGCATTGCATTTATTAAAACTGAAGTTATGCATTCAAGTTTTGTATTCAATTTATTTAAATTGAAGTTATGCATTCAGTTTAAAGTTCTGCATTCAAGTTCTGCATTAAATTACAACTGAATTGTAATTGAAAAACAAATGCTAAAGCTCCTTTTTAAATCTGCCATTTGCCATTCTTTTAGCTATTCTTCGCTGCATAAGCTGCATTAAATTAATGTTAACTATTAGCTAGATATTAGCAAAGCTGCATTGTCTACAACAGCAGCCTAAGTATAACTAAATAAATCAATATCTGGCTATTAGTTTTGAATTAACTAATAGCTCACACGGCCAAATGGGTCAATTTTGATTTTCACACTGAAACTCCTTTCCTATTTAAACGGCACTTAAAATAAATAGTTAAATGCAAAGGACTAATCAGTGTCAAATATAACCCTGCACAAATGAAGGAAATTGAGCTCTTCTGCTTGATAGGTCTTTGGCGACACGGCACGGCGGATGATTATCTATTTCCCAATAGAACGAGCTGGCTAACATGATTTATTGTCATTTGAGCTGAGCTGTAATTGGCTCATTCGCTATGGCTGGAAAGCCCGTGAATGTGCAGGACACAATCGCAGCTTTCACCCACAGGCTGCGGCTCATTATTCAGCTTAGTTAAAGGAAAGAAACAAATTTCTGCATGGCAAGAGGTGGAGCAGCTGTTTTCCAGAGCTGGGTAACACAATCCTGTCAGGACTATGCAGATGTGCAGACATGCAAAAAAAAAGCAGTCTAACAGACGCTGACACCTTCTCAGTCAAACACGGACGACATTGTGCAAAATAAGTTGAGGTATCATTTGCTTGTTCCATTCCCAGACACGCTAAGGTGTTTTAATGAAGAGCGGTGGGACTGCGCTGTGAGGAGAGGATCCCGTCTCGCCTCTCTCGGCATCACGGCTCCTCAGAGGGGAACAGCTGCACCTCACCCTGTCTATTCTCAGATGACAAATCACAGGCCAATGACAGGAGAACATTCTCACACCTCAATCCTTGCCACAAGTGTTTTTCCTTTCAAAAAGTGTAACAAACACCATGCTTCACAAAACCTAAGATCCCTAAATCGTCAGACCAACATCCAATACTTATAAATGGACTCGATTTTTAATAATTTACACTGCAAAAAAAATGACATTTTAAATTTCTAATTCATATTTTATAGTCATTTTGCAAAGTTCACCCCCCAAAAAATGAAAATTCTGTAATTTACTCTCCCTCATGTGGAACACAAAAGAAGATAATTTGAAGAATGTTGGTAACCAATAAGCTGACAGTAGCCATTGACTTCCATAATATTTTTTTCCATGCCATGGAAGTCAATGGATACTGTCAACTGTCACCAACATTCTTTAAAATATCTTCTTTTGTGCTCAACAGAAGAAAAAAACTCATACAGGTTTGGAACACTGGTATGTTGAAGATCCTATCTATGAAAATACTTAGGGCCAGATTTACTAAAGAGGGCAAATTAGTGTGAGATTGCAACCCCATAAAAGCGCAGATGGGAGTGGAAGGTTTTGTAGTTGATCTGAAAGGGAAACTCCTACAAAAGCATATGCAATAAACTCAGCCACAAAAATAACTCTGTCCATGCCAGAGTTCCAAAAGCACCAACACAACCTTTGTTGTCGACATCAGCTAAAGAGGAAAGATGCTCCAGAGGCAGAGCAAGATTATAAACAATAACAATTTGGAATAGCATACACTGATGAATCATCCTGAATATAATCTGGAATGAAAGGTCAATTTAGATTTCATGTTGAGTTTATCAAACAAGAATCAACCTTGTTTTTCATGCAAAATGACAAAGCTTACCTCTCCCATAGAAATATTTGTGGTAATAATACGCTCCCAGGTCGATGTGCTCGATGATGTACCGCTTGACCTTTTCCCGGTGGATTGGCTGGCTTTCTCGTGGCACCTCCAGTACAGACACGCCAGCGTTGGTACAGTGGGAGCTCAAGGAGGACTCGAACGAGCAGTTTTCTACTCCAGCGCTGTAGGTGGCGTTGTTGGCCCTGGATAGAGATATCTTCCTCTCCCCTTCTCCACCAATCTCATTGCGAAAATGCGGGCAATTTAGCACCAATCCATTGCTCTTCCCATCCCCCTCATCCGCATCCAGGTTCTCCTTGGGATTGAGGTCTTCCCGACTTCCTAGCGGAAATTCGAACATAGATACAGGTCCAGTTGTATTCCCACCCACTTGTCCACCTCCTGGGACTTGGTATTGGGAGGCGGCAGAAGCTCCGGTGGTGGTGTTCTTCCTTTGGCTGAGGCTTACGCGATTGGCCACCGCTTCGCTGATGTTGAAGAGGACGCTCTGGACGTCATAGTGAGCAAAGCACTTCTGGAAGCTGAGCGGCCGGCGTTCGTCTTGCTCGGTGGAGAGCCGCAGACCATCGTTCTCGCTCTTTATAGTCCTCAACTTCCTGAAAAGCGACGTCTCGGATGATTCCGACTTGAGACGGCACATGAAGGACTTCTCCCTTTCTCGGCTGTAGAGAAGGGAGCTGTCCACGTAGTCATAGCCGGAGATGCGGACGATCTCGCCGCGGGCTATCTGGGCGGCGGTCTGCAAGCTTGGGGAGAGGGTTGTGTCGTAGCGAAGGAGCTCTGGGAAGCCGGCAGGTGGGGCGCTGCGATGGTCCAAGTTGTCAATCTGATATCCTCGCAACATAGTAAAGAACCCATCGTTCCCAAGACCCTGCCGGTCAATCGAAGATGTGCTGCCGTACTCCCGATGCAACGAGGCGCCGGTGTTGGGGTTGACGGCGTTCTGGTCCATTATGTCCTCTGCATCGATGTCGCTGATGGTCACGTCACTGTTACTCCGTTGGCGAATGGGATGGAGTCCCTTCAAAGGGGATCGACTCAAAAGGTCACTCAGGGAATATTTTGTATCCGAATAATCAGGCTCCAATGGTGCTTCACCCAAATCCGTGATCTCCACACTCTGGTCTGGCTGTCCATTCTGAAAGGCCGTAATGACAGTCTCGTAGTTGGGTCCGCCTCGGCTTTCCCAACCCTCCTTTTTCGGGGGCCAGTCCGTCACCCTGGCTCGCACCCCCATTTTAGGCATAGCAGGTGTCCCGTTCGTTTTGCCACCCCCTTCCAGCTTGCCCTGCGTGTTGCCCCCTGGATGTCCCATACTCCCATTCAATGCTTTCAGCTTCCTGCTAAACAATTCCTCAGATGACTGCATGACGTTAGAGGAGGCCTCAAGCGATGGAAGGTTCGTTTTATCACCGATACCCACGGCTAAAGCTCATATCCTGCTTGCAGCTGTTTGGGAAAACGAGAAATCAAGTCCCCTTATCGGTTACATTGTCATAGGTCACCCATTTGAGTCCCAGGCCAGCTATCTCAACTAGTTTCAGAGTCGTCCTAGAGGGAGTCAGCCCACATAAAGGGCCGTCCTTCACTCCAAGTCCATTTTCCTCCAGAAGTGACCGGTTTGATGAAAGACAGACAGCATTTGGGTGTCACGGATGGCTGGAGCTTCAAGGAGCAGAAGGGGTCAGTTGAAACGGCTCTCCTTTCACAGAGCTCAGCTAATTTAGGACGACAGCTGGAGGAGAGTGATCTGTTGGGAGCAAGGAGAAAAACAAAAGCACATTAAGACATATCACAGAGAACGGCAGAATATGTTTATTCGGATACTTTTCCAGGATTTCAGAGAGAACAGTGGGATGTCTTTCTCACAACCTCCTTATGACCACTGAACAATGTAAGACTGTTAAGGGTGCGTAAGGCGTAACAGGCCTGATGACTCCTTCAAGAAGGTCTTCTCACAAAGAGATCTTTCAGAAATATGAACGCCTATTTCTTTTGCTTACTTTTATTGGCCAAATAGGGGTTCAAATCAGTCTTGTTAGCCATACGGAAAGATAAACCTTAGGGAACGTTCAGTGGTTTTCAAACTGGATTATGTATTAGGCAAGGAGAACAGCAAAATGTCTTTACTTTCATGCCACATTTATTCGCGCTGGCGTACTGGAGCCCTCAATTGCAATGCATATATTACATGCACAACTATAAATGCATATAGCATATACTGTATATACACACATATATAGCCATGGCTTAAAGGTTCCCAATGGGGACTCCAGCATTTGAACTTCACTTCTGCTCGGCTGTGCAGCTCACCATTTGTGGGTTGGGAAGGTGCCACTGATGACCTAAATGGGTTTTTCTTGTTCATGAATATCGTGTGCATGCCACATTAATGCATCCTTATATATGTACTATAAAGAATCACGTAACATGACCTGACATTGCTATGAGTCCACAAAAAAACCTGCTAAATCCATTATATAGCTTGACCTACAATGTAAACGCTATGACCCTTTTCCTGAACTGAACCACGAATCTTCATTCAATTTTCACAACTCCTAAAAAAAAAACAGGAATGAGGGGCAATACATCCCATCTTCACTGCATTCGCCATATCCCATGGTTCAGTTTGTGATGTACTGTTCATATCTGCAGGACAAACAACATCTGGAGGGGGAAAGTGGGCTGCTTCAAGAAAAAAAAAATGCTGAAACCAGCCTAAGCTGGTTGGTTGGTTTTGGCTGGTCATAGCTGATTTGTAGGCTAGTTTTAGATGGATTTTGACCACTTTTTAGTTGGTCAGGCTGGTCAGGCAGGGAGACCAGCTAAAACCAGCTCGGCCAGACTGGGAGACCAGCTAAAACAAGCTACTTCCAGCTTAAACCAGCTAAGACCAGCCAACAAGCTTAGGCTGGTTTTAGCTGTTTTTTCAGCAGGGAAGAGCACAAATTAATTCAGAGATATTACATTATTGTGGCAGAATAGACAAGAATATCTTTAGAAGTCAAAATATTGTTTTATTTCCATATCATCTAACAAAATCCTATCATAACTAAAACCACTTTGAAAAATATAATGGTATCTTTGACTAGGTTCATCTTTAAGAAATATCATGGTATCACACGTTAATTTGAAGAATGACCATGGTGCATGTCCAAACGCTGGCTAAACATTTTTGTAAGCAAACTTTTCAACATTAAATTGTGCAATGTCTATGTGAATATGAGAACAGCTAAAATGAGAAAACAGCTAATGTAATTTTCTGATTGCATTGGTTTATTTGCATTGTCTTTTCCTAGACAGCTTCCCCTTGGACTGTCCTTCACAACGATACAAAAGAGCAGGATTTTGGATCCCAGTGCTGTAACCCAACTAACTGTTTTCACATTGAAATGCAGCAGCAGCAAAAGTGCTTCCTGAAATAACTTCATTAAATGAGACAGGCTTTTCTGAAAGGATGAGCAGGGACAAAACAGAGGAGCTCTGATTACGTAATCCCTTTTCACATCGACACAATCATTAAGACACACACACACACACACACACACACACAGAGAGAGAGAGAGAGAGAGAGAGCAGGGACACTGAGAAAAACCCTGTCCTCAAAACATTCAAGGACTATTGAACTGTGACTAAAAGTGTTTCCTTCAGTATAATGAGACTCAGAATAAGCTGCTGAATTCCAATAGAAAGATTCTTCTCCAAAAGCTCTTTACAAATCTACACGCCTAAATCCAAAAGATGTCTTAACAGAGCAGTTCATCTAAGCAAACCACATGCTAAACCCTGGCAATGATTTCCAAAGGCTTTTTGTGAAGGCCTTGGTGTTAAAACACTTTCTGCTGGCAATGTTAGTCATTTAGCAGATGCTTATGTCCAAAGAAACCTAAAAATGAAAAACATCACACAAAGCAATACATCACACAAGAGCTAATAATACACTATTACAATGGCAAGTTTCAAAATGAAGCTACAGTAAAATTGTCTAAAAATACACAGAAAAAAATGTTTCATTCATCCAATTAAAAAAATGTAGGGTAATGATTCACATCTATATTTTTTAACTTGAGCCAATGAAAAATAAATGACTTGCCCATTACCCTAAATTTTTTTAATTGGATGAATGAAAAAAAAATTTCAGTGTATGCTGTTGATTATTTCAGTGGTTGACAAAAATATTATTAGATTTTAATATTGTACTAAAATGAATGAATGAATAAAAAAAAAGTTAATTATTAACAATCTGTTAATTATTTTAATAGACAACACACACAAAAAAATATATTTTATTATTAAAAATATATATAAATTATTGAAAGAAAGAAAGAAAGAAAGAAAGAAAGAAAGAAAGAAAGAAAGAAAGAAAGAAAGAAAGAAAGAAAGAAAGAAAGAAAGAAAGAAAGAAAGAAAGAAAAACGTTAATTATGAACAAACTGACAATTATTTTAATAGACAAAAATAAATTAATATTTTGAATTTGGGATGCAGTGATATTAAAATTCTCTCCAATAACAATAAGCTGTTAATTATTTTAATGGACAACACACAAAAAAAGTGTTTTAATATTGTACAAAAATAAATGAATGGTGTTCATTTTTAACAATAAGCTGTTATTTTAATGGCTGACATAAAATGTTTAATATTTTATTACTGTACATAAAAAATACATAATTATTAGTTATTAACAATACGCTATTAATTATTTGAATTGTCGTCATAAAAACGTATTATATTTTAATACTGTACTAAAGTGAATGAATGAAATCAATAATTAAATAAATTAATAAATAAATGCATTATAAAATTACTACATTGATTTAAAATAAAACATTAAAAACAAATCAACAGGTTTTTTAACTGAATTTAGCCATCACAATATTATAAATGTATAGCATAAAAATTAATATTCATTTTGAGATTGGCTAAAGATTACATTTAACTATTATTAAATTATTAGTGTTTTTAAATATTTAAACAATTAAATATTTAATACTGGCTGATAAACATATATCAATATTATAATAAAATAAATAATTTTACTAGTAATGCACAAAAATCTATATATTGTGCACTAGTAAAATGTAAAAAAGAAGAAGAAATCAAGATGCATCTTCTTCAGATGGGATGGAGGTTGGAGGCTCGTTTCACCACAGAGAAACAGAGAGAGGAAAGATTCTGGAAAGTGTAAACTCAAGCACAGAATAAACATCTGCCACACACATACACTAGACATCACGGTGGTCTCTATCTAGAACACAGACAGTGATAAATGTTCTCCATCGTGTCTTTCTCTACTGGGGCCCCTGATTGCAGCACAACTTCGTGGTCAGCAAAAACACATCATCCCTACGACCTTTGACTTGTGCAGGGTTTGTTTTCTGACTGGGCCTTCTGTGTGTGTGAAGAAAGCTAATGATGGGAGGTCTAACACACACACACACACACAGATACACAGAGGTCTTTAATGAGAAAAGCTCAGCAGTCATTATCTTTGGTCAACCTCCAAGGCCAAAGAAATGAAATTGGGGAGGTGGAGGGGGAGGCTTCTGCGAGACTAATTATGGCAGTGAACTCATTTTCTGTCGCTGGCTGGGCTGGTTTCGTGTCTTTGGTGCCGTTTCGCCAGGTCTTAAAATAATCTTTTGACATGGTGGCCTGATTAGAGGCTGCGGGAGTATTAAACTCTCTCTCTCAGTTGCATTATCATCAACATACAGCGAATTACACAAAACACTTATTACAACTAACAGTAAACAAATATATACAGATCTCATGCTTTCTCGGGGGGTGCTTACTAAATTGACAAACTTTAAATCCGAAGAACTGCGTGCTTTCATTACCCATATAACGTTAGCTCTGACGTAGACCAGAAAACCCATCAAAATAAGAGTCCAGCCTTAGTAAAGGAGATCTCATTCACATTTAAACTTACAAATAATATTAAAATGTATTCAAAAAAAATTTGATTAATTATAATAAAGTCTGTTACAATAAAGAAGGATTAATATGTATTTAATTTATACAGTGAAGTGTTATTTTACATTTGTTTACTTTATTTCTGTACCTGAAAACTGTGAAACCTACCTAAAAAGCACGGTTTATTTAATATGTATCTTTCTTCTGTTGTATTTATGTAGGCCTGCTGAATGTTAGATGGATCCAATCCATGTTCATTAGAAATTATTTGATGCAGCAATAAAACTGCTAGTATAATTTAATGCTGGTGTTTTTGAACTTTGCTGATTTAAAACATGATCAGAATACTATCTATTTCGATGCCAAAATTTCAAATAAGAGAGGAAGTGACAAATATCGGTATTGGCCAATAAATGTTTGTTAAAATCGGTATCGGTCCCAAAAAAATCCTATCGGTGCATCCCTAGTATTTTATAATATTTTGACTTATCAAAATATTTTATAATTATTGAAGAAGTTTTTATTTTAATTTTAGTTTAAGTTTTAGTCATTCTCTTATGTGCTTTTGACATTTTAATTAGGGATGCACTGAAATTTTGGCCGTCGAAAATTGCGTTTCGGCCCAGAATTTTCATTTTGGTGCATCCCTAATTTTAATATATTTTTTTTATATATTTCTATTTAATTTTATTTAGTCATTTTAGTATACTTCAACTTACTTTTAGTATTTCAACTTAAACTCATTTTATTTTAGTCTAGGGATGCACCGAAATGAAAATTCTTGGCCGAAGCCGAACAAAATGAAACACTGGGCCGAAGGCCGATTACCG